TGGGAAGAAGTTTCTTGAATAGGGGGAGGCATGGCATCGTCTATTTGTGCATAAAAGTCACTCTTGCCAACCACTCCAGGAGGCTGACTACGACTATTGGCAACCGCAAAGTCGCGGACTTTGATGTATCCAATGATGGAGCAGTATGCCGCGGCGAGTCCTGTCACAAGCATGCTGATCACCCACATCATGTAGAGCAGTCGACTTCCACACCATCGCGTTTCAATGACAAGCGTATCGTCATCGATCTCGTTTTGATTGTATTGACTGACATCACTGTCGACCCGATCAGAGCAGTGTCCTACGATGAACACAGATAGCCATGTAAACAACAGGCATATCACAATGCTCAATTTCCAGGGTCCACTGCGAGGTCTCATGCTTTGATAGCCAGAAGGATAGACGTAGCGTATGGGACCACCGATATAGGCGTCCCCATATTCTTCTTCATAGTTGGCATTTGGCAATTCCATACCGGCAGGAAACTCCAAGAATTGATTCTTGTATGCATGCCTTTGATGTGGAATTTGACTTGCACCGTTGACTGGGTATTGTGAGGATTCCTGTGAGAAGAGGGACTCTTGTCGTCCTAGGTTGCTGGCGGAGCATGCTGCAATGTAATCTGGGTCAATATTGTTGGGATTGGTTGGACTGTCGAGCGGATTGTTGATGTTCTGAAGTTGCGAAGCCGACTCGGGTGAGGCTGCACTTTTTAGCAGATTGGGAGGGTGGTAGCCAGGTGATTGCATATTTGAAAATTGTTGAGGTGGTTGGTACGCTGGTGTAGTAGCTCCTTGTCGTTGTCGTGAAGAAGAGGCCACCGACTGATCTTGCTGATCAAAAAGGCTGGTACTTCTGGAGGAGACCACAGACAATGAATTGAATGGTAGTGGTGATTGGGTGCTTTCAACAACATCACCACCACCGGCTCCCGGTACAGCAGTCGGTGCCTGCCCTTGGGTTTGCATGGATCCTCCGAAGCTTTGTATGTCATCTTCGTTATTTTGCGCGTTGGATGCTGTTGGGACTGTCCACGAATTGTGGTTGTTGTTATTCACACTTTGGGCGCTTGTATTATTGGAAAGTAGACTCGGTTCTCTTGCACCCGTAAAGAGTCTACTTGGAGTCTGTAATGGTGAAGTATACAAGACTCCTCTTCCGTCATCATTAGATGTCCCTGATGCAACAGTCTGAGCAAACTCGTTCCGTGCATATTGGTACATAGGGCTTGTAGCAGCAGCGTGAAACCCTCCGTCAACAGGCGTGGACAACTCAGAAGGAGACAAACGCTCCTTCTGCTTCTTTTTCTTCTTGCCAAATCCGAAAAATCGCTTCATCTTGTCAATGACTGATCAGATTCCTCAATCTCTTATTCTTTCTCGCGGCATTGGGCTTGTCGAGATAGCTATTTCTTTCCGCTCAATTGGCTAAGGAGCAATGGCCATGGTCAACTTGTTAGCGGCATTTTTTGCCTTCTGAAAGAGCTCGACGCAAGGTCGGTCCAACCGGTACTTTCCGTTCCAGCTGTGCCGAGAGCGGGGCTTGCAGGCTAGCTTTAAACCAGTTGAGTTGTGAAATATTTCTATCGTCAAGGTGCTATGGTAGTTTTACTTTTAAAATACCTGGTACCTACCGGTACCTGGTACGGTGTAATACGGTACCGCTAGTACAACATGAAGCTAGTACCGGTACCAGTATACCGGTCCACTGTACCCATACATTCTCGATACATGGTAAGGCCCCATGTCATCCTTGGCAGTCATATGAGATGCCCATTGACGAGGCCTGAACTGCAGGAAGAAGGTGCATGCATTGGGATGCAGGGATGCAGAAGCAAAAGCACGCATCTTGTCGACACTGAACCGAATGAGTTGTAATAATTAGCTAGCTTATAGTTTGCTAGATTAGTCCTTAGCCTAATTGAAGACATCATCGCAGACAGCCGCAACAGAAATAGAAGAAACCCTCTGCAGGCACAAACTACGGTTTCTTCCTTTGATCATTCGCCAGCAAAGTTACCAATCTCCTGCCGGTACTTCTGGAGTACTCTGCATCAGGCAGCAATATCCACTCTCGAAGATGGCGATAAGAATTTGGTCACGGGAACATTCATTGGTGATTCCTTCGGGACGTTCTCTTTCTTCTCTTCGGCTGACAGCGGGGCTGGTTGAGGGGTCACATGCGGCCGTTTATCCGTCACCTTCAAGGCAGTGCCAAACGACTTGTCTCCGTGTTTCGAATCGAGTCCAGAACGCGTTGCAGGGGACTGGGCTGACATGGTAGGCAAGGCATTTTCACTTCCGCAGGTCCTTACATCCTGGTGTCCTCCAGAACGCTTCCCGTCTAGATTTTGGCTCTTCAGAGCTTGCGAATCTGGAGAAACAGAGGCCGCAATATCACCCGCGGATCCTTTCCCCAGTGTACCAGAATTCTGAAAGGTACCTTCCTTCTCAGGCTTGGTTTTTGCAACCTCCTCGGAATGCTTCAGAGATTCTTTCACGACGGGTGGATGACGTACGATTGACGAAGGGGCCGACGGAGTAACCGTTTTGGCAACCGTTCCTATGGAGTTCTTGGCAGCGTCTCCCTTCGAATTGCTGGGGGTTGATTCTTTGCCAGTGGTCGTTGAGAGGCCCACTGAAACAAGCTCAGCTTGTGGTTGATTGACCGCTGCCATCTTTGTCGAATTTGGATTGGCATCCGTCGCTGGGCGAGCAATTTCGTCTAATGGCGCTGTTGCCACAGGCTTTTCTGGGCCTTCCACTGAAACAGTCGTCTGGGAGCAGGTTTGCTCCCCTGCCCTTGACGTGTCACATCCTGTTTCGGAAGCAGCAGCGGTTGAATCTTTCCCGTATTGCTTCATAGCGTCGATGGCCCATTCGAAATTCATTTTCGCCAGCTTTTCCACTCTGTCACGTCGCATTGGCTGGATTCTGCCAAGTCGCCCAAACAAGCAAAGACGTCGTTGCTCCTTAACCCACACGGCTAACCCCAGCGATTTTGACAGGTCAACCTCCAAGCCGGACTTCGTCGCGTTCCGCTGACGAACCAATTCATCGTATCTTCGACTCCAATGCCATTCCTCGTAATCGAACGCGAATCCGATCGCCTGCAAACGGCGGAATCTCAGCATGTCCTCATCTTACGTACGAGGGGAACCAGACCATGAGTTGAAGTACAGAAAGGAGCAAAGAGAAGAAAACAAAATTTATGGACATACCAGAAGCAGCTCTCCGTCCAGCTTGGATCTCGCGAAACAGATGACGCTGGACCGAGGCGAAATCAGCTAGTCTCGCGTGCTCTCTTTCTTCCTTGGAAGAACCAGCGTGCGGGCTACCTGCAGTAGGTGGGACAGCACAATGGCCGTGCACCTTGAAGAGTCAAACACAAAGAGAGGGGGAGAGTGTTAGAGGCAGATTGCATCCTAGTAGTGGTCAAGGCAACATTTTTCAGGAAAGCAGGCGCCACATACCTCTTTGAAGTGCACTAATGCCACAAAGAACTGCTCCCAAGTCGCTTGATTCGAAGGCGACGACGCATCACAACCGCCACAGTTCATGGAGTCAATCAGCCATTCTGAACTCGTGCCTTGGTTGTTGCTGGGTGAAGGACTTTCCATAATGAGACGATGCATTGGTGGACGTTGTGATTGGCCAGCGTTTGAGTTATGAAGAGCACGATTGCCGGTTCTCCTCACTACATGTACTGTGTTCATGCGGAGACTTTGGCGGACCAGTGAAAGACCTCCCGCAACTGCGTCATTTGCATCCTCCATCAAGGTGTCATCATCTCCGTCATCATCAGTTTCTGAGATGGTACCGGAGTCACTGCTTGCGTCCATGGATGGGTGTTCCTCTGTGAGGTCATCCTCCGACTTGTGTCCATCTAACGTGGACGACGAGCCCCGACTGAGGACTTGCTTCTGGGAACTACTCTTGCTGGTGTTGCTAATGCTTGCAGCAGCCGTGTTCCTTTTTGCCTCTTGTTGTTTGGTAGAGTTGCTCATGCGTCTCTCCGTTGCTTTGGAGGCACTGCTACTTCGCCTGATAGCCGGGCCAGGCCCAGACAAGGTGGCTCGTTTGACAGTTCCAACCTTGGGGTCGGCAATTTTTTTGTGGCCGTCTTGTCTGGATTTTTTGTTTGCTTGGTGGGAGGAGACAATGCTATCTTCTTCCGTGGACTGGATGCCCTTCCTTTTCTCGCCAGACTTCGCACGGCTCTGTTCCTCTTTTCCCTTGGACATTGGTTTTTCCTCGACAGGCTTCAACACACGGTGCTTTGCAGTCGACTTCGCCTCGGCCGGCTTGGCGCTTGGCCTTGTCAATGTCTTCCTGGCCGTCTTCACAGCAATCTTCCCATCTCCAACTTTCCGCTTCTCGGTCGCTCGCTCCTGATTTTGAAGCTTTTCTGCAGCAGAGCTCCTCTTCTTGTGAGCACCCTTTCCGGTCTTGGCATCAAAGGCGGCCGTTTTCACCGCAGTCACGACGGTCTTACACGTCGACCACTTGTTCTCCCGCAAAGCCTGGCAAGCAGCATACCGGTACTGTGAGTGCTAGCTTTGCTCAGCTAATATTCGCGCGACGTAGCCAAAGAAAAGCGAGCGAGTGATCACCCAGTTGGTGCTTGCTCTTGTGCTTACCTGCTGGCATTTTTCCACTGCTCTTTCGACGCCAACTTCCACGTATAGTTTGGCACTCGCATCTCCCTCTTTCTGCTTCATGAAACGGCCCCCTCTTTGCTTCACGCCTTGAACGACCTACATCGAAACGGTGCACCGTCGCAATATGAGACTGCTATATGGAAATGCAATCTTGTGCATCACGAAAGAAGAACGATTTCCTTGCTTACCCGACGAGCGATCAGGGTTTTGTCAGTTCGCTCAGCTTCCAAGTAATCCGGTCTTAACCGTTCCACATCTTCCCTAAATAATAGGTTGCCTCTGTGACGGTAGACGTCGTGCAACGCGCAAAAGAATGAAACGGGACCATGAGTTTTGGCATACAGGTATTCCAGCAACAGCAACCTTCTAGCTAGACGGAGACCTGGCCATCACCAGGGTCTCGAGGACATTAGAAGGCGGAGGCCTCGACCGGATGATATCACTCACGGCCTCTGTTGCAATAAGGAGTGTTGGCAGTTGGCAGTGAAGCGGAGGCGTTAGACGGGTAAAAGACAGAAAGAGCACTACCTGACACTCATCTTGCGTTGCGAGCTCGACACAATCGATGCCCTACTGTCCACAGTACAACCAAGGCGACGCTGATGCCAACACCGGTAGCAAAGATGAACACTTTCGAGCTCAGGGCCCACCGTGACGAAGGCAACGAAGTCTTTCCCTCGAGCCAGCGAAATGCTCTATAAATTAATCCCGCAAGATAACAGATCAGAGCAAACGAAGAAAATCAAACTTACATCGTTGATAGCGGTCCCTCTGCCAAATAGGACGTCATTGTCGCTCAGAGTGCGATAGGTCTTAGCAGTCGCATAGGTTTCCGCGAACATCGCTGCCCTCTTGCTGTTGGAACTACAATTGCTATTTCTCCTCTTCATCTTCGTCATGATGACAAGCGCAGCAAGGCAACAACAAGACCAATCGTTCGTTTGGCAAAGACCAGCGACCACAAAGAAGACTAGCTAGATAGTGCTACAATGAGTCCGTGCTAACAGCCAGTCCGCCAATACGCTGTCGTCTTATTCGATGGTTTGTTGTTTGTTTCGTTGGCCACTTCTCTCTTCTTTTGATAAAGTAAAAGCAACGACGGAGAGCGCGAGTTTTTCTTGGTTTCTTTGGGGTCCCGACTTGAGGGCGGGATTCAACGCTGGAATTTTCTCGTGTTTCGAAAGCGAACTGGCCCTGCTTCTTCCTTCATTTAGCCGTCATTGGTTTCCCTACGGCACACAACGACGATGTTGAAAAGGCGGCGGGATAGGTACAGTACCGGTGTACCGGTACTACCGCTATTACTAGCTAGCTAGCTAGCTAGTATGGTCTGAAGATGGATGTACATGCATCCTGGTTTCGAACGTATCCACGTCTACAACACTATAGCGGTTGAAGGAAGTTATTAGGCTTGCCATCAAAACATTGCTCTGGAATCCCTGTCAGCATGTTGAACGCTTGGCCGCTTTTCAAGCGAATTTGCGTGGTGCACCAATGGGACGTCTTGCACATTCAGAGCGGTACTGTACCGGTACTGGTACCGGTAGGGCAGCCGAAGCGAGGCTACCACCAAGTACTAGTATACCGTGCCCTGGACCAAAGCCAGCCATCAATCTTGGCAGCACCACTCATGTGCGGATCGTACTGAACGCTGGAAGAGTTGCTTCTTGGCATGATGGGGCAGTCAAGACCTCTAACCTGGCCAGTACCAGTATGCATATCAGTGGGGAAAACTCGCGTGATATGCTGCCAAGCTGAACGCACATTTTTTTAAAATCTAGTAGTTAGGGTTGCTGGAACCTGCCTGGCGGTGAACCAGCCAGAAAGCTACTAGCTTGCGAGTACCTACAAGTGCCGACTGCATTCATCTCGATGATTGGAAAAGGCATCTCATGCACTTTTAAACTTCCCGTCTGAGCATCACATCTGCAGGCTACTTGTACGTACAGCCGTACTGTACTGTACCACTGTACCGCACCCAACCCGTCCCCTTCTCTTTGTGCCCATCCCAAAGCGAGAGTGACAGCTGTTGGGTCGTGAGGACGAAAGTGCTTGAACCTGCCTCATGCACACATTCTTTAGCCCATTAACTGGCTTATAATTCACGCCCTCCTCTCTTTTTGTAACTAAGCTTCAGAGAGATGGCGATAACTGACACTCTGGAGCCGAAGCTAATGCTTTTGTTCGTAGTTAATTAAATGTATCGATCACTTAGCCCCGCTTCCTTGCTCTCTTTTTGTACTGGCGATTCTGTCTTCATCGAAGCAATTCTCCATGCATGCTTCTGTGCTTCGCCTAGACCGGACTCATCATCAGGCTGGGATGGGATATGCTGTTGCTTGTCGCCAAGGTCAACAACCTTAGACGACCTCGATCAGTTCGACAACTGCAAGAAGTCGCTTGGAGCAGGGAAACATCGAAGGATCCCACCATAGCGGCTTTTGTTTTTTGCAGTTGAAATCCATTCGTATTTGCGGTGGACTGCAGCTGAGACGGAACAATTCTCCTGTCTTGCTTCGCCTCTCTGTTTCTCGCTTGTGCTTGCGGCTTGTGAGGGCAAAGAGAGCGAACGGCGACAACCAAACGAGCTACTCCCCTTGTTCGATTGACCTCTTCTTTTTGAATTGTGGTGTTGGATCGATTGACACAAACACCACACCCTGTGTAGGATAGGTACAGAAGACTTTTAGGAAGGAAGGTCTGTGTCTGTCAACAGACCGCTTTAATGCGATTGTTTGAATCAGGAGAGACCATTGTCGTCTCGCGGGAAGCATCAAAGCTAGTCATGGATCATTCTGACATCCGAGAAGGACAGAGAACGTCGCTGCCTTCTCAAGACCAAGCTCAACAGCCGCCACAGCAACACCAGCCACTCCAACAACCACAACCACACGGACAGCCACCATTCCAACAGTCTTGGCCGGCTGGTGCCGTACAACAGTACCCACAAGTACCGCCGCCAGCTCAAAGAAATATCTATACTCAACAACAGCAAGATCTCTCACACCAGCAACAATCTAGACAAGCACAACACGCCACAATGACGTCCACTGCAGGACTCCCGCGCCCAGACATGGACTACCACAATCAAGCAGCCGCGAGCTTGTACTTGCAAAATACAGCGGCAGCAGCAGCAGTAGCGGCCCATTATGGGGCATATCCCCGGCAACACTATGGAACTGTTCCTCCCCAACCACCGTATTATCAACCACAAACACAACAATTGCCAGGACATGCGCCGCCATTGGCGCCTCCCGCTGCAGCAGCGGGAGCACAGCCACCACTGCCACCCTATGGACCAGGGTCTCAGGCAGCCAGTGTTCTACGTGGAGCTGCTGGCATAATCGTGCCGCCTCATGCACATCCTCATCATCCAACACTCCCTCCCGTAATCCCCCCTCCCGTCATTCCCCCTCAACCTTACCTACAACCCAAGATTGGGCGATTACCAGCAGACCGACCACTCATGAAGCTATCCGTATCACTCATTGACACATACAAACACATCAACACAGTATACTACGAAGAGCGAGAGGCAAGACGTGCTGCAAGAGCCAAAGGAAAGGCAAAGAGCAGCAGCAGTGGCGGCACAGGATCCAGCAGTGGAGCACCAGGCCCGGCGGCTGCTGCGTCTGGGAGTGGTTCCTCGTCGCAACCAGCTTCGGGAGGTACTGGAACACACAATCATGGTTGGGACGATGAAAACTATGACTATATCGTTACTAGTGGTGAACTCTTCTATGGGCGCTATCGAATCAAGGAACGCATTGGCAAGGGATCGTTTGGTCAGGTGGTCCGGGCTGAAGACGTCGACACCCGAAAGGACGTTGCCATCAAAATCATCAAGTCAAAGAAACCATTCTTGATACAGGCCCAGACAGAGATTGAACTGCTGACGCATCTCAACGAGAAAGACAATGAAGACCAGCACAATATCGGTAAGTGCCCCATGTTCAGTTCAGAACATTGAACTAACTAACCTCCCGTCTCCGGCACCCATCCTGACTTGACTGACAATTGCCATGTTTTGTTTTGCCCCTGAAACACAGTCCGACTTTTGACTCACTTCAAGTACCGCAATCATCAATGCTTGGTCTTTGAAATGTTGTCTCTAAATTTGTACGAGCTGCTGAAGAATACGCAGTTTGGAGGGGTGTCTCTGAACCTGATACGAAAGTTCGCCAAACAGGTCTTGAGGGCTTTGTCGTTTTTGGCGAGACGGGACGTTGACATCATTCATTGCGACCTCAAACCTGAGAACATTTTACTGCGCCATCCCAAGAAAAGTGGCGTCAAGGTGATTGATTTTGGCTCATCCTGTCGATCCAACAAACGCATGTATTCATACATCCAGAGCCGATTCTACCGGTCCCCTGAAGTCATGTTGGGCCTTTCTTACAGTGTCGCCATTGACATGTGGAGCTTGGGATGTATCTTGGCTGAGATGCACACGGGGGAACCTCTGTTTTCAGGATCTGACCAGTTCGATCAAATGCAAAAGATTGTCAAGGTATGTTTCCGTCGTGTCGTGTCGTCATGTCAATCTCATCATGTACATCACGGAGATCTCACGCCCTTTCTTTTCTCTCTCCTTTCAGCTTTTAGGAATGGTGCCTTCACGTATGCTCGACATATCGAGCGACCAGCATCGTCTTCAGTTCTTTGAAAAAAGTGTTTCGGCCGCTGGGGTAGACGAATGGGCGTTACGGCAGGTTCGTTCTTCGTCTTCTTCGCGGCCATCGTCGACTCAACAGCAGCAGCAGCCACAACCCAAACAAGTTGTTGTCCCCAGTCGGGACCCAGTGGCCTCCCTAACGGAAGTCATCACTTCAGACGCACACCGAAAGAAGAAGTTTCCTCCTGCAGAAACCCGAAACACTGCTCGGAATTATGAGTTGTTCATCGATCTAGTCCATCGAATGCTCGCGTATGATCCAAAAGAGCGAATAAAGCCCGCTGAAGCTCTCAACCATCCATTCATCACAGACACCGGTGCAGAGCAGTCGGCAGCACCACAACAATCCACAGGTGCGCCTTACGGAACGAGCAGCACTGTCCGCCGATAAATGTATCCTACAGCTGGCTGCCCTTACGCAAGGGCGGGCTGGTCATCCACTGTCGTCGAAAGTGGATTGGAATTTACAATGATGATTTGAAATTTGTGTTGTAGAACAAAAGCAGGGGTCAAGAAGAAGCGAAGGTGAAACCATTGCATAACTGTGTCGCCAACCAGCAATCGTAGGTTGTTCTTTCGAGGAGCAAGCGGAAGAACAAGGGGATTCTGGTTCCTTCGGGGGTATGGTCGTCGTGGATAAAAGCATCGAGTGTTTTGAAAGCACCGCTGCACTCGTGACACTACTTGAGTGGAGGAAAGGAACCTAATTTTTTTAGCCGGCATTTTGTCTTGGTTAGAGCAGATCACTTGTGATTGATTGATGTCAAGTGTCTGGTTGTGTTTCATTCCGTTGCCGTTTCGTTTTACTGGAGGAAAGGCTTCTCTTGAGTAAGCGATGTTGCCATGCTCAGCCGTTCTTGGCGAGGAAAGATGTGGGGCTCCGCAAGTTAGTTGAACGACCACACAACGACAGAATGCATGATGGCGCAGTCGACTTCAAATATACCTAACTAAAAAGCTAAGCTAGTTTCTACAACACAGTACTGCGTCACTGTCCACCACCACACCAAACCAACTTGCATCTTTCATAGAGAATATCGCTCCGGCTTCCAACTCGTAGCTTTTCCGTGATCAAACCTGTTTGTTTCAGAAAGCGCAACCCGATGGAGAAGAGACCAAAGGAGCCTTCACGGTCGCAGTCAAAGTCCCCCATCGACTGCCAAAACTCTTCGTACCAATCCTCTTGCGTCACAGCAACTCGGTCATGTATCAGCCCGTACATCGTCGACGCTATGTAGGCTGCTGACGGAGAAGGCTTCTCAGAAGGATGAAAAAGGACCTGCACTATCGCATCCACAGTTTCCCTTCGGGGCTCCGACGAAACGATACAGTCCGATGAAATTGCCGGGAAGGCAAAGTGACAAGTCCCTGTGGACCGCTCATTCTCCTTGGAAGAAAGTGAGTTAGCTGCTTCGCTCAGAGACCCCCAATGGGCCAATAATTGGTCCAATTCGGACAGGTCGTCTCCATCACGAGACTTTCCAACCAATACAATCAGTTCGTCAAGTACCATCCGTCCTTTGTCAAGTAGTTGCCGGTCTTGGTCACAAGAATGCTCCAAACAAGCTGAAAGCTTCTCAGAGGTCGCATACTTGGTCAGGAGAACTCGAGGCTGTAGTTTCACTTCATCAGCGCCTGACAATACATCACCAAGTGCAGCGGGAGTTGTGAACTTCTTCCTCAACATCGCGAGCTCTTCCAACATATCTCGGCGAGACAACCCTTTGAGGGAACCTTGGAAAAGTGGATTGAATAGCCCCTTGCGAAAGTACTGCCTTTGGTTTCCTTTTTGCCGTTGTCTCAGGGATCCCATCAGCTCAAGCACAATGCGCGCTTGCTCTTCCCGTATTTTCCTTCCTTGTATATTGTTGAACATCACTGTCGAGGAGGGTGCAACATTTTCGTTCAAGAGGACGCATCGCGCCTTTTCATCCACTAGAAACCATGCGATTCTTTTCCAGAGTTTTGACTGTATGGCTTCATGGTTGATTACAGACAGAAGAGACCGATCATCAGCAAAATAGTGAGCCAATGCAATCCTGTACTTGGCTACTACGCAGTGCACCGACTGGTTCTGTTGTGTGTACGACTCTTCCACTTTTTCAAATACTTCTTGTGGAAACATCACTGGAAACTTTCGATGGATCCACAATGCTGTTCGAAATTGCTCACAAATGTCATCCGGAGACGGAAGAGTCTCGGATCGGACATTGAAACCAGCGTATCCCACTATATTTGAATTTACCTCCATGCTTCTCCTCCCATCGTGTGGAGCCATCATGACGACATTAATGGGGATCCCATGCTCAGCCCTAAGGCTGGCAAGAACATGCAGTAAGTCTTGCAACTCGGCGCTGTAAAAGCTATCATCAATCTAGGACAAGTAGTGTGAGTGGTGCGACCGAAAGACACTAGAATGATGGTTCATTCCTTGTAACAACAGGACTGACTCACATTCAAAAAGACGACAAGTTCATCATAGCAAGGAGCATTTTGCGCCCACAGCAAAAATTGTTCGGAGAAAGTACATGCTTTCTTTTTTCGACGCTTTTCAATTCTTTTGCGTAGAGGTTCCATCATCAGAACTGGTAATAGATTGTGGCATTGCTGTACCAGCTCCTTCATCCAAATTCCTTGTCGCTGTTTGCCACCTGCGGAAGTCTTTCTTTCCACTTTGATGACTGCACTGCGTTTGCGAGCATCTCTCAGGCTCTGAACCAATTGGTCCACCTGAGTGTTTCGGTCCTGCCCATAAAAGAAAGGGCATTGGATAAGGAAAATTGGTAGCAGCAAAGGGTCCTGTGGCGCCCATGGCTCTTGCTGCTGATCAAACAAAGCAGAGTCCAAGCCTTTCAGGAGAGTGTTTGAACCAGGGGAAGCTTCTGATTCCGACGAGAAGTCAAGTCTCTGCCGCTTTCGGCTTGCTAGCGCCCCGCCATTATTGGACTCTGTTTTATTGTCATTGTCATTGTCACTGTCACTCTTGGAGTGTCTCAATTCGCGCGGAGGAGCTGATGCGTCCAGAAAATCCTGCAGGGCGTCCAGACACGGTTTCGTTGTATCTCGATAAACCTGTGCCAGGCATTGATCCATTTCTTGAGATAGGATGTGGAAACAACGCTTTCGCATGTACAATGCTTCTTCTTGCCGTGTCTCCAGTTCTAGCTCTTCCAGATGCTCGTCATCTCGCGCATTTTCTACCGCCGTGGATACCGATATCTTGGGACCCTCCTCTGGTCGCATCAGGGTTGCCCATCGTGGCAGTCTCACATTCTTTTGTACTGGCATGGTCGACATCAAAAGTACCAAGTGGGTGTCTTCTTTCTGGGAGCAATTCTGGCATTGGTTTTGGAATAAGCACTGACCATGGGGAAATAAACCAACAGAGCTGAGCGGTAACCAGTTTGGGTGTTTGGATCTTGCGCAAGAAAAGGTTACTACTAGTAGTAATAGATACTACATGTATGTATGCATACCGGTACTGTACCGGTAGCGGTACCAGGTACCGGAACGGGTACCGTGCCTCTGTTGCAACGTTGGTCCCTCCATTGGCACTATCTCTGCATGTGTTGGAAAGGCAGGATTACGTTTAGGAGCAATATAGCTAGGACAAAGAATCAAAGGAACGCAACGAAATCAAGCCCTAAGAGCTGCAGTAGCAGAACCCAAGCAACCACACTGGCTGGAGGTGCGGATAGCTATCTTCGTGATTTCTTGCAGGGGGGAGCTGAAACCAGCTCTGGCCTACTAGCTACCGTACCGTAGCCAGTTAGCGTCGCTACAATGGACCTGCTACGGCACCGGTACCTAATCAATACCGGTAGATTCGAGAGACTTTGTTGCTCGACAACCATTCATTCGTGATCCAAGCAAATCGACTACTTGTACCCCGAACCCCACCGCCTTGCCTAATGATAAATTGGTACATTGCATGCAGTCAGAGGCACGGAACTCCTTTTGCCGAAGATACGATACGTACTGGTAAAGAGACGAGCACCGATATCCCTTCGCTGCCAGATGAACTGTCTGTCCATTCGTGGCCTCTACGCCAAATTTGTCCCGCAGGGCTTTCCGTTCGCTTGGGTGACTGGCCTCATAGCGGCCAAATTTGAGGTGCGCCGGTCTGCCTTTAGGACTCCCACGGCCACGTTCAGTGGGATAGTTCCACGATATCACTCCAAGATTACCAAGATTGGAGTGCCTAACCCCAAGTGCGGTACAAAGTAAGCGTACTATCAGAAGATGTCGGACCATGGCGAGAAGCCAAAGATATGGACGTCCTTCCGACAAAGGTTGTCGGCAAGGAGAGCTTCTGCAAAGATGCTCGCAAACTCAGAGGAGCGCCGAGGAAGTCGAACAAAAACTGACTCAACCGGGGCAGGATCGACGAAGCGGTTCTCTCGCATGAAGGACGAATATAAATCAACATCATGTCTACCAGTGTCCCATCGACAAGTGGTGGCAGCGTCCTTGTTGTGTTCCGCAAAGCAACAATTCAAGCTTCTGGATGACGACACCTTCAGCACGAAGCCCCTAATTGGCTTTGCATCTCGGTACAGCAATCGCCACTACAGCGAAGTGTGGCTCGCGGATTACGTCAACGCGACAAAACACTCGGCAAGAACTCCTCCCAGAACCTCATCAAGAAAGAAGACACAGTGGAAAACAACAAAGGTCACCATCGTTGATCCAGACGAATCGAGCGACCCAGCATTGGAGATGATGAGCCCCGTAAGAATTCCCGCAACAAACAAAGTCGGAAGCCCACAGGGAAGCAGACACGGTATCGGAAGAGAGATTGATCGCCTTTCAAGAACTTTGGGCATGGCTCCCGTTGACAATGGCTTGAATGAAGCTGGCCGGACTCGTCATGTGAATGAGTTTGACGTTGCCTCTGCCACTTCGCACACTTCAAGCTTGGATACCGCCGAGTTTTCGTTCCAGGCTGACTTCTCACAACTGCAATCACCAGATAGAAACGACAAGTCGAGCGCGTCAATGTCATCTGGTATTTCCACTACCTCGACATGGGACGAAATCAAACGCAGAAAGTCAGAACTGTTTCAGCCAATTCTTAACGAAAGTTATGACAATGGGGACATCATCCTTGCTGCACGACCAACCCCGGTGTACCGAGATGTACACGAGGTACATGAGCTGAATCATTCTGTCTACTCTACTGACAACAACATGGGCTCCCCTAGTAGGGGTCCTGAAGCCCTCGAAGACGATCTCATCGACATGAACTTGGATATCTTAGCTAGGCATATGGACGAAGAAGCGATGATGTACCAGCAGCAACAACCATTCTATGAGATCCAGTGCAAATCAGATGAATCCCATAATTTATCAGATATTAGCGATTCTGCGGTGGGACTGCCAATTGCGGGGCAATCAGATGACCAGTCTCTCAACCAAGGCGAGATGATGGAACGCTATCTTAGCCAGGGAGAAACTGAGAGTGGTCCTTATCATAGGACTGAGCACGATCGTCACCCGGTCAATGCGGAAGAGCATGTTGATCGACCATCGACCCAACAAGAAGAGAACGTGAATCGACCACGTAGCAAGCCAACAGAGCACGAGGATGGGCTACTTGTCCAGGAAGAGATGGTTGGTCAGTTTCTCAGCACGGAAGAGAAGGCAGAACGACCAGTTGATCAAACTGAGATCCCGAAAGGAGCATCGCCCATGCCAATGGTGTCTGTGCATCGTTCTGGGGACGTGGCTAGGAAGGCGAGATGTGTTGTGGTGTACGACAAAGAGCTAACTGATTCAGAACGAATGATGACATTCGATGACATTCCGGCAAATGTGAAACAGATTGTTGATCGACTAGAAGTTTTCAGGCAGAGAGAGGCAACGCGAGCGGAACAGTTTGGATTCAAGAACTTCATCCCAATCCACGAAGATCAAAAAGTCACGGATCAAGTTGCAGGAGGCAGTCAGTTCTTTCGCACGGTGTCTTACTCCTTTGAAAGTGAAGGGTCGATGATATCCGTTTCGCCATTGCAAGTGGGAAACAGCCAACTCGGTTCATTCTAAGCTAAGCGAATGAAAGGAACAACAATGAACTCATCTAAAATGATTATACTGGTACCCACTGAGCTCATAACATATGCCTGTTAGCACAATACCGAAAAATTCCACCTGGTAGCTCCGGTTGGCTATTCCTGCGACTCAAGGTGCTTGAGGCGATAGAATAAACTTGTCAAACTTGACCGCGTTGTCTTCATCTGGATCCATGTTATCGTATGACAAGTCCGATCTTTTGGACCTCAAGTTCTTGCGAGATGATTTGCTCCAACCCAGCGTAGAAACGAACGGCAGTGCCAAGCCTTGCAACCACATTGCGTCGAAGAGCAGTGCGGCGACAACAAGCAAAGGCCAAACGACCAGTTGTTTTGCAGCCACAGATGTCCCAAATGACAAAACCAGAAAGCATGCACTGATCACTCTCGTGCTTGAAAGAACAGGATCAACGGTAAGGGCATTTGGAGCGTTGTGCTGTTGAAACCGGCCAACCTCGGATACGAGAGTTGACGTGACAGCCAGTATGCATGCAAGGACTACCGTCGAATCCATACTGCCGCTCCTTTCCAGCCAGGAGCCCATTCCAATTGCCGCGGCCGTCGTCAAACTGGCAGTCATGAAAATCCGAAGTGGCGACCCGAAGGATTGCAACGCAACCAAGAGGGACACGACAACTACCCCGACGACAGTCAATAGTTGCCTTGGCAGGATCTCGACTTGAAATTTTTGAAAGTCGTACCACCTTCCGGCCGGACTGTCAATGAACACTTTGACACCACCGAGAACGCGCGGATCTTCCTGTAGACGCTCGATGGTCTCTCGAGCCAAAATTAGCCATTGATTCCCCTCTCTCGACAATGGATTGACGCCTAGAATGGCAGAAATGTAAGTAGCTAGATGATGAGATGGTGTCGTTTCGTCCTCGATAACATTCAGCAAATGAAGAGCCTCGCTGGGACACCTTGGCTCCATGCCTCGACAAATATTCGCAGCATTGTAAAGGCTTTGCGGTATTCTGAGATTGTCAAGGACCGCAATTCCGGAGTATGTTGTGGTTTCGATTCCAGCGTTCACCGGGAATTCGCAACGGATGTCTTCAAGATCACTTTCTTCTTGCATCTCGATTTGCGTCCATAGATCTTGCCTCTTTTTGTGATACAGATCAAACTGCCTTTGCTGTTCCTCTTTAAACCTTCGCAGTGTGCTTACAAGCTGCTTTATGAGGTGCTGGACTTCTTTGTATTGTTCTCCGATCGGTGTAAAATCTTCCAATCCAGGAGGCTTTTGGCTCGGTTCATTGCCGTCCAAGGAAATGCCCTCAAGCTCACCCAGCACCATTTGCTGTATATCATACCCCGCCAATGATATCATGCTTTGATTTCGATCCGGACCGGTACCGTCAAACAAGAGCCTATAGGGTGTCAGACGGCCGTGCCCGACAGTCTCCCCAGTCAAGTAAAAGTGATTTTGAGAGTCACCCACCAGGAAGCGGGTGGGATTTGGACTATCCAACGAAATACTTGTCAATACAGACGGGGCCCTAGACGACATTGAGAGCAACAAGAGAGTGGACATACAAAGGGGTACAAGCTTCCGTAGATTGGACCACTGTGAAGGTTTCAGTTCTGAATCCTCTTGCAATTGAGGCTGCGTTGCTCCCATGCAATCCACACGGTCGGTGCTGTTGTCATCAAGGAGCCTTGGTGCAATAAGAGCGTGAAAAGCGGTACAGATAGTCACCACTGTTGTCGTTGCCACGCTGACACTCTGAAGGACTGGGGAGGCAGTGACTGTGTAAAGACTGGCAAATGAGGCCATCAAGATCCCTCCACTTCGAAGAATGGTTCCAGAGGCACCGTTGAAGCCAATGTTGTCTAATGAAAACTTGGAATAGTAGACAGAAAGGACCAAGCAGACCATCGCCATTGAAGAGAGCGACAATGGTGACACGGTTGTGGTCGTAAGGTAGTTCAGAGCAAGCGAACTGAGGGACATGGTGGTTGCCATGCTTGCCAGTATCAAAACACCCCAAAGAGCGGATTGATTGCCCACTCCTATTCCCATAAACAGTACAGCCTCCAATAGAAGAACCACAGCTGCACAAATCAGAGACAGCTGCGTATTGGTCATGTTCAGCGAAGGATTCCAGTGCATTCCAGTGTAATGGATGTTCAAGTAGGATGGCTGGTTCTGTTGTCCAAACCTCAAGATTTTCTGTTTCAGTTTCAGTACTCCGGAGCCACCAATCTCGTCTTGAATGTATTGAATTTGAACCAGAGTCTTTGACCCATCGGGTGTGACAAGATTGCGAGCCACATAATCCAGTCCTTGCTCTTGAAGAGAATAATAAGAAGTGATCTTGACGGAGGGAGTGCCATTGACATGGAATTGACTCTCGAGATCATACGCCAGGTCGTAACTAAAGTGTTTCCCCTGTTCATAAATCAGCGAAGTATCATCGGCAAAGGAATGTGATTCCACCTCTCCTTGACTGTTAAGTGTTGGTGCCGAAGACCTTCTTGAGTCGGAAGCTTCCAGCACTACCCAAAGAGAGGGGTGAGCACCCCAATCACGTTTGTATACCTTGTCAAAGGCAGCTCTTGCCACACTTGACGGAGAAGTTGGCGGAGGCACTATCACAATAGGATCGGTACTTGCTTGCAAGAGAGAGATCCACGCCACGCATCCCCAAAACCAAATGAGGGACGACACGGCGACAGCGGCAACCTTATGCCTTTTCAGCAACCCAGACTTGGAAAGCTGCCCGAGCTGCCAATTATCATTGTCATGATTGTTTCGAGATGCCTTCGGAGTGGAGAAGCTAAAGTGACGAGGAGGAGATAACAACGAGATTGGACTAATCTCATCCTCGGATTCTGTCAATTTTAATGCATCTGGAGCTGAGCTCTTCTTCTCCGCTATGGGAGAAAGCCACACCTCTTGCCACGATGGTGATATAAAGGAAGAGCTCATCTATCTATCTGCTAGAATTTATTTGATTGTCGTGTCACTATATGCACTCGATACAAGTTGGATTGTTTTTGTTGGGTAGCGGAGTTGCTCTTGGTGCTAAAAAGAAAATGCTACCCACCATCCAAGAAAAAGTGAGGATTTTGAAACACACAGGGCCGTTGGCGTGGCTCGATGGCTCAATATCTTCCTCTGGTATTAAAATTCGGCAGGTCCGCGTTTTCAGTTCCACTCCCAACAATTCTCGCTCGGTGCTCCGTCCACGCTACCGTACCACGGTGTACGGTCTGGTATGTTACAATACTGTACAGATGGTATCGTCATGTATTTCATCACCCAAGCATGTATTTCAACACACAAGGAAGTCACAACTACGGTACATCCATGCATGTAGCTGCTAAACTCGCTTTGGCAATTGGCAAATACGGAGTACTCTTGATACATGTAATTAGTCGACCGGTACGGTAGCTACCGGTAGCCATATGGAGCAGCTCCCACCACTGCTATCCATGGCACAGTTGGCCAAACTGGCGCCTGGGGAATGCAGAATGCACATACGTAAATAATTATAGTCGTGGTTACTTTTTTCGAAAATTGAAATCGTGTCGTGCTTGCCTTTAAAACTTGGGTGGCAAGCATGCGTGATGCGCGCGAGAGCGTTTTCACTTTTGGAGCTGGTTTGGAGCCGATTGGGTCCCGTAAGAGCGGTTAGTCATCAGCTCCTAATTTTAGGAGCTGATTCCCGAATCAGCTCTTAGCGGCAAGAGCTTTTTAAGGGTTTGTTAAGAGCTGATTAGGAGCTCGTTTAGAGCTCGATAGGAGCTCGTGATTGAACCTTGCTAAATGGGAGGAAGTTCCACCAAGGGGCAACAACACAGCAACAAATCGACCACAAGAAAGCACATGCTAGCAGTTTGTTCAGCTTACAAGCTCTGGAGATGCAGCAGCAGCAGCAGCAGCAGCCAATAGCTAGAAGAGCAAAGATGACTGATAGCGACGATGATGCTGATCCACATCTGCAGGTGCTCACTCCCGAAGAAATGCTCCAACATGGAATGAAGTTGATTGGTTGGAACGAGAGGCAACTGAGGAGGAAGTCCAAGAAGCGATGGAGGAAATGGTGTATCCTTTTTGCTGCAGATTTTGGAGCGAAACCTCATGTTGTCTGCCAGATTTGGGAAGATCTTCAAACAACAGCATTGAAAGAGGCGTACTTGCACCCAAACCAACGAAATCTTGACCAATTTCTATATGCACTGCACTTTCTGAAAGCATATCCGACGGAGAAACAGCGACAAAACAAGTGGCATGTCTGTGACCGCCTTTTGAGAGATAGTGGTTGGTTTTTTGTCGAGAGAATTGCTGCTCTGAAGGAACTGAAAATTGTCTGGCTTAACACTGGCAATGATATTTGGTGCGGAAGTGTTGATGGGACGCATATAAAATCCTGGGAGCCTACACATGACAAATACCCAAAGGACCCATCTGCTTTCTCGTGGAAACATCACTCGGCTGGTTTCAATTGTGAGGTGGTGCTCTCATTGAAAGAGAGCAAAATTATATGGTTGAACGGCCCCTTTGAAGCCGGTACCAATGACATTTCCATGTTCACTGCTCAGGGTGGCCTCTGTGAGAAGCTGAGAGAAGCTGAGAAGATGGTCATTGCCGATAACGGATACAGGGGCTATGATGATGTGATCAGTCGGCCAAATTCAATTGACTCTCCAGAGGTGGCAAAGTTCAAAAACCGAGCTCGATGCCGGCATGAGGCCGTGAACGGCATGATTAAGCACTACAAGTGCACTGACTCGGCTGCGTTTCAGCATGGCATTGATAAATTCGCTCTGTGCTTCGATGCAGCGGCCGTCATTACTCAATATCGAATGGAGCTGGGGGAGCCACTATTTGAGGTCTAGGTATAGCTAACAAAACAATAGTCTAGCTAGTGAGTTTGACTCATTTTTTCAACCTTTCCTAGTTTATCTTTCGGGGTGGATCATAATCGTAATCATACAACACGTCTTCCTCGTCATCCTCATCGATCATTACATCATCATCATCATCATCATCATCATCATCATCATCAGGGAGTGGGATTGATGACGGATCGCCTCCCAATGCAGCATGCCTGGCTTGGACGTCCTCTGCAAACTCTCTTTCAATCCCATCAATCATTTCTACTGTAGGATCAGCCGTCGAAGATCTTGCTTTCGCAATTGCTGCAGTTCGTGATTTCTTTTGTCGACCAGTCAGAAGGCTCTTTCTTTCCTTTCCGTCAACCGTAGGTTTGAATTTTGCCTTTCGGATTTCCTCCATGTCAAACTCTCCTCCTTTCTTCTTGTTTGTCATCTTATTCACCAATGATGCTCCGGCATTAATCAGCTGTGATCCAATAGTTTGAGCAGGAGCTGATGGAACTGGCACTGGTTGCACCGGTACGGTTGGCATTGTTGGTGTCATTTGCGAGCCACCACTCGCGGCAGCAGCTAGGCTACTCGTTGCTGTTGTGGCAGTACCACCAACACTGTTGGTTGAGGCCGATCCTACAACTGTCAGAGCTCCTAAGCCAGAAATCATAGCTTTGAAAATGGACACACATTTACTATTTGTTAGACACAGAAATCGCTCAGGGCAATCCACCACTATCTTATTACAAACCTGCAAAAGCATCTTTTGTTGCTTTGGCTCCGCGGCCGGCTTGGCCTTTCATATCAACCGCCTTGGCAAGGTCAACAAACTTCCAGCACAATCGGCAGTGCAGAGCATAAATATCTGATTTGGTAGAATCTTTTCGTCCCGTGTTCTTCTTATAGAGGATCAGCTGTGGAATTGCAGTCTGCATGTGATCACTATCTTTCTGCGCTGATCCAGTCCGAAAGGGAGCTTCAGTGAGGCGTACATCTGGGCTGAAACGAAGCACAATCTTCTGGTGGCGCTCTTCGAGGCTCAACTTGCTGAATGCAGTGCGAGCAGCTTTGTGACCTTTCTTTACTGAATCAGAAGTCTGTCGGGCATCATACTCCGAAGCATCCTCAAGAAAACAAGCCGGGAAGATGGGCTTTGTAAGCGTCGCCTCATTGGTGCCTTCATAATACTGCAACACGTAGAGATCCTTTTCTGCATCACGAGAGTCCACAAGAAGCTCAAGTTGAATGCCTCCTTTCCACTGTGTCTCATCGTGCTCAAATTCCATGATATTGACTGCATAGATCCCTTCTCCTTGATCCCCAGGATAGTCTGGGTCAACATCAACCGAGCGATCTAAAATAATGAAATGTGCAGAATGGTTAACTGACTGGCGAGAGAAAAACAATAAGTGTTCAACAACAACAACAACAACAAAGATCTAAGCTAACCTTTTGTCGACATTGTCAAGCTTGTCTGAAATCTGGGGATGCTGCCAGTTAAATTGGTTGATTTTGGTGTGGTACCGCCGGTTCGCTTGGTTGATTTTGGGGTGATGGTACCAAGCTTCTTTGGTTTACAATCCTCTTCTGCTTCGTCGAGGGACAACTGAGACAGGTCTTGTGAGAGATCAAAGGAAACGTCGTCTGAATCCTTGGTAGAGATGGTGGCTGGTAGTGGTTCAATCTTCGTTTCCTCTGCTGGTTCTTTCTTCTTGGACGATCTGGTCTGCTTCTTGGAGGACGCTCCTTTGGTTGCCTTGGGTGTTGAAGCTCCTTTGGTCTCCTTGGTCGTGGTCGCCTTGGACGATTTCTTATTCTTCTTTCGGATCTTGGCAGAATCAACGTTCAAAACTGCCAATCTAGACAGATACTTTGCTTCCGATCCTGTCTTCCACTTCGTGACTTTTTGCGATATCTTTCTCCTCAGATCGGTTCCAAGCTCGCCGTAGAACTCCGGCTGCTCCAAAGTGTAGGACCTGTGATCGCACAACTCTCGAAGACCTTGTCCCTTCCCTTTGTCAAAGTTGAAAATGCCTCCAGCGTCCTCGATGTCCTCTGCCAGCTGCTTTTCTATCCAAAAAGGAAGGCGTTGCCTTGTTCCTGTCGAAGCAGTGCTGCCGCCACTCATAAAAGAAGCTCCACCAACACTCGCTTCGTCAACTGCAGCACTCTGCTTACCCTTCCCAGAAACTGATCCAGCAGCTTCGGCTACCCTTGTTGCTTTCGATTCGCACCTTGTTCGTGGTCTTGGAGTTTCGGCCATTGTGAAATTCTTGCTGGAGTTGTTCGGCCCGTCTTGCTGCTGGACTTGATCCGACACTCTCCAGCATTTCCTATCACACAAATTGTGTAGAAACAATGAAAATTGTAGCTATTGGGATGCTGAGATGAGAGCCATCGTCTGCGGATCTTTCGCAAAGATTGGAGGCAAACTGCCCAACAAATAATCAAGTAAAGCGGTAACTGCCAAATACGATATTTGACTTGCTACGTTGCTAAGTTGCTACCGTATTACTTGTCATGGCTGCTATACCGTTACCAATAGCGCCGCCAGGAGGTGAGGTTTCATCGGATGATGAAGAAGCTAAGAAAGATGTGGCATGGAGCGATCATCCCGCTAGAGCTCTATTGAAAGCTGCGTTTGAAGATGGGACAATACAATTAAATTATAGCAAAACAATCCGGCCAAGAGGTGTCTATGAAATGTTTGAGGAGACAGAGGCTTTCAAAGGGATGCCGTATAATCCTGCGTTTACTAGGAGGCTCCGAAGCTTGAAAAACCAAATCAACGACAAAGTTGACCGAGCGGCAAAAGATCAAGCAGCATTTGATATCTTTCGAACAAACACACCCAAGAAGACTCATAATTCAAAGGGAGAGCCTCGATGGGAGGGATCTGACGCTGAACTGTTTTTGAAGCAAGATATCGAAGCCGGTTTGCACATTGGGCTGTTGCCACGGGATCTGTATGAAACAAGGGATGAGTACATGACATTTTTGTTGAAGGTATTTCGGGGGCACATCGATCAAGAGCGACGACTACGCAAACTCCACAACTTCTTAGCTGACAAGGACAAGGCGAAGAAGTCCTCCAAATCATTGGAATCAGACAGTGACAGTGAGGATGATGGTAGCGGTAGCAGTGAAAGTTAGTTATAGAAGCAACAACAACAGGAGTTCATTGCAAGTGGTGGAGCTCATTAGGAGCCGATTAAGAGCTGATGAGCCGATTAAGAGCTCGTTAGGAGCCGATTAAGAGCTTTTTCATTTAAGAGCTGATTCACGAATCAGCTCCTAAAATGGAGCTGGTTTAGAGCCGATTCGGGAAATAGGAGCTGATGCACGAATGAATCATGGATTTAAGAGCCGGTTTGGAGCTGGTTTCGAACGGTTAATCCTGAGCCGGCGCACCCTCGCCGATGGGACATTCACGATTTAAGTCAAATTTTCAAAAATCATCGAAATTACTAAAATAAGTAGTGCATTCTGCATTCCCCTGGCTCTATCATCGTGCATGGTCATACTCCCAAAATACCCCCCTTCACACGCAATTTTTCAACTCCGCGACCAATGGCCAAACACCCACACCAACTAGCTCCTGAACCCACACAAATCGACTGGACCAACAATGACCAAACTCCAGGCCCAACAACAGGACAATACTGGCTTCATTTCTCGCTGGGCTTCGACCGCTTCATGTAGCCACCGGTAGTTGAGCTCTTTCGCTGAGTCCTTCCAGAGAGACAGACAATCAGCCTGGACCCGTTTTTTTTGTGCGCCTAAACTATATTTCTGCCCATCCACCAAAGCTTACAAGCGCGAATTGAGACACCTGTCGGTCAGCAGGGGTGTCCTTGTTTTCCGCACCCACTCAGGACAATCCTCCCCAGAAAGTTACTGGAAAGGGATGCCAGTTGCATGTATCGGAAGGAACTAACAGATATTCACTACATGTAGATTGGAAGCGACTTATAATAATAGATATTCAGAATAAACCGTTCTATGTTAAAACTGGCCAGGTATGGATACAAGTGGAGCGAGTATGGTTTGTCTGTGATGCCACTAAGAAGTAAGATCGAATCTAGCATGCTTGTATACGGCGTGGTGAGCCGAAGAGGACCTTTGTGGGTCTTCGCAGCATTCTCCATACCGACGATTGAGCAAGATCTTGCTTTCCGTGTAGTTTCTGGCAATTCTTGATCATTTGCTTTCGTTCCTTCTTGCTGGTGAGGAGCTCCTCAAGATCCGATACGGGTGGCGCACGATCGTTCTCGTACTGATCGACGGGGATTGCTTCTGAGGTTGACAGACACGTCCAACCAAGGCTCAATGGAGATTTGGCGTCAAAGTCTGGGTGGCCCTGGATCACTTCAAAGACCAGAGACTGGGTTGTACCGAAGGAAACACTCTTGCTGCTCTTCGCTGGGATGGTCCTTCTTCTTCCGCTGGTGCTCGTCCAGGAGGAGGACGACATGTTGCATGATGATACGGAGTCCATTGTGACAGAAAGTTACAAGAAAGGAAGGAAAGGAATGCAGACAACTAACTAGCTGTGGCAAAATAATGAGCACTGTACTCGCCTTACCAATAACACAAAAGACGAACGATTGCCTCGCTTGTTGGGTTGTTGGGGTTGGCTTTTTGGGTTGTCGGGTTTGTTGATTGATGGGACTTTTGGTGGGCTCGATCGTGGAGTCACCTTCAGAACACCTAACCAGTGACTTAAGGGATTACTGTACGTTGCACTGTACATGTTTACATGTGCATGCAAGCATAAGCCAGTACTACTAATAGTACTATTATAGGGTCACAAATCGAAGTCATCCAGATCCAGGATGACGGCACGCGGAAGTCTGGAGTACTCCAGTATTATATGCCCTAAATTGGTGACACCGAAAGAGACATTTGGGCTGTTCCCGCCACATATTGTATCTGCTCCTCTCAATCTCTTGTCGAAGGTTCGAAGCAGCGGTAGCGGGTATCGACGTATTTCCCGTACCGTAAGCTACGGAACTGTACCGGTTCCTCGTCGGTAGAGACCAGAGACCAGAGAGAACCAGTCTTGCTGTTCCAAAAGTTCCAACCAAGATACTCCTGCATAATGCCTTCATTGGGCAATTTTAAAAGGGGACAGGACATTGCATGGGACAGGCTATGGGACATCTATATTATTACCTCTGCTCCGCTGGCTTGCTTGTCCTCACTTTCCGTCTCGGCAACAACCCACAGGAACAGACATAGTTCCTCTAGCTAGCTACCGGTAGCTAGTTGTCTGTGGGCGGATGAAATTTGACTGAAGCCTTGGCCTACGATACTGCTATTGGTAGCTGGATGGGCTGAAAATTTGACCGAGGACAAGGCCATCTCGACTGGCTGGTATGCCAGCTAGCCAGTCTGGTGTCTTAGTCTGCGCCATTGAGCACTCCAGCGCCAAACACCCCGACAAGCTGCCGGTACGACTGTAGACGAGCAACGAGGTGCTACCTTGCTTGCTTCACGATGGTCCGACTATAATAAGGGTTCCTTCTGTTTCATACTGCAAGAGCTGCTCTGTGTGGCT